TCCTAAGTGTACGGAATCAATAGGACATAAATAAAAAGTGATAAATTCGTATTTTATAAAAAGTCCACAAGTCACATGTCAAAAATTTAAGGCTCGTAATTGATTAATCACGAAAATTAAATTGGAAAACATAAAAATTAGCATGACACAAAATTAGGCAGCGTAGCTGCCACAGAATTGACATAGATATTCATTTTTGCATGATTAAGGCGTGCCTCGAAAAACTATTATTTTATTAATTAAGATTTATCTTACTAACACTTAATTTTTTTTTTGGCATGATAATTTGAAAATTTGTATATCAATATTCATAAAGGAAATTAAAATCCGCAGACGTCTTGTTTTCGACGACGGTACCAAATATTTGTGGAAATATCTGGAAATAAATAATTTGTGAAAAATAATATTAATTTCTTATTATGGATTAAACCATAAATAATTTACTTTACGTAAATTTCTCATGATTTCCCCCAAATTTATTCCAAAAATATTGGTTGCTGAATTACGATTTGATTTGTCCAGCGAGGGATACATAACAATCATCGTCGTAAATAGCCATCGCTAACACGAAAACAATTTTAATGACAAGCAACAAAACTGAAAGATATCAAGCCATCAGCATCTAGACATTAATTAAAAGCTGAAAAATCTAAATATATAAATTCCATATAGTTACGAAATCGAATAATGCGTGTGTGTGTATATAAATATATATGTTAAAATGAGAGGTTCAATTGAAATCGCCCTTTGCGAGGTACGCGTTACACATAAAAAAATGTCAATTTTATTAATTATAATTGTGACCACTAAATGGATTTTAAAGTCCAAAATGTGTACCACAATCATTAATTATTTTAAGAGCTACGTGTGTGGTATTTATTTAAATAAATTGAAATTGATCATGAAAACAATTAGACGGAGGAGTGACAATCTTAACAACGCAACTATTGAAACTATGATTACAACCTGGTCCGGTATTCGATCCGATTTTAGGAAAATGTGATAAGCTCGACTTAACGACCATGTATTATTTTTAATTGTCGGATTAAAAAAATTACAATTTGTTTTATAATATAATATGGTTTGAGTTTAGATTGAATATCCTTGCTATATTTGTTTGAATCTGACTTTTATCATGACTTTAAAACCCAAACACCAAATATTATATTTTGCAATTTTTTCAGTCAAACTCTTATTACCAAACAAGCAATTAATTGTTTAATTCAAACATATATATATAGAGTTTAGCTGGTGGTGCATTAAGGCAACTTCAATTAATTAATTAATTGTTTCAATATTTTGTAGTATTAATTTTTGTATCCAATTTGCCTGGATAAATATGCAGCTGAACAAACTTTATTAATTGACTCAGTTGAGACGAAGAAGAAGGTGCGGATCAAGAGCGCTCGGACTGTAGCTTATGAGAAGACGATTGCTTTTTTTTTTTACTTAACGGAAGTGTGATAATATTTTCGAGTGATTTTAATCGAAACAAAAAAATGATGTGCCTAAATTATACATCAAATAATAAAAGATCTCATTTTTATTTTTTTATGATATTATTAACATTGACTAATAAGAGTAACATCCCAGAACAGACCGTGATTGTTAGTGGTGAAGACTGAAAGCTTATTGTCAAACAAGAAAATGATGTATATATATACACACCATCATTTTCTTGCATATTTGTTAGGAAAAAAGAAAAAAAAAAAATTAGTTATCAGAGACTTGACCATGATTAGTTGAATCATAATTAATACTATTAAAATAATTATTAATACTATTAAATATTAGTTACTACTTTTTTTTTCTTTCAATATTACTAAATAAAATAAAATAAAAAAAGGAAAAAGAAAAGGTTATAGACTTATCAATAATAAATCGTCATACCTTATGTAAACTCCTTTGGATTATTATTTATTTGATAGATAAGTTAATTAGTTTGAATTAAACAGATTCAATTATTATTATTTATTTTTTATTCGATTTCCCTAGGGCTGTGACCAGACGGAGTTGAATTGTGCAAAAACATAAATTAATATTTTCAAACACATTAATCTCCATGATGAAAATTGCACAAAATTTGCATATTTTCTTCCCTCAATATTAATTTGAATGGCACAAGTAGCAAAAAAGTATAAACAACTTGATTGCCCTAATTAGAGGCTAACAATTCCACTATTAGACGAGTGATTTGCGCACGATTTCATTACTTTTAACATTTTAATTCTTGTTTTACAATTGACTCAAAGAGTTATATCAATTTCACGAGAATCGAACCAGAAAAAAAAGTTAATTTACACACGTAAATACTACCTCCACGCAGTAAAAATTGCAGGAAATTACTAATTACACGACCTATATTAATTTTGTAATTAAAAAAACCCGTAAATTCCGGGAAATAATGAAATATTTGCAACGGAACAAATTCCCCGTCAATGGACAACAGCCGGTCCCCCGGGATTCTTCCGGCTCAAGAAACGCGACAATGAGAACCCATATCAAATAACTTTCCAAGAAAGATGCGCACTTTTTAAATTTTAATTAATTAATTAATTATTTATTCTGAAATGCCACCATAATAAAACTCGTGGTTACTCCTTCGGTTGACGTTTCTGTTTTCCCTTACTTGCCACGTGTCATCCTCACACGTCAACACAAACGTGTCCTTCATTTTTATTTTTTTATTTTTTTATTTTTTGTTTACTCCCTAAAGTCATAACTCATAACAAATTTCAAATCCCGGCATCTCCCCTCCCATTTCAAATCCCGCCCCCCACCCCCCACCCCCCCACCCCACCCCCGTTTGTTTATATATACGCCATTATATTCTCATTTTTAATTAAACACCTCAAACTAAGAATCTAGAACTGTTTAATCCCTCAAACAAATTAATTTTTTATTTTCCGATCATCAGAAAATGCCGAGAAAAGGAATGAGGAGTGTGTGTTTCTCACCGAAAATTTCTTCTTCTTTCTTCTCTCCCCCTTCTCCTTTACGAATCGGTTTTTCTCCATCTCACCCAAGCATCTCCGACTCGGTGATGGACCGGACTCTCGAAATAGCCGAACCGGTCATCGTGAAGTGGGATCCGGAAACCACCACCTTCGCTCGAGTTACCTCTCTCTTCTACGAGAACCGCCGCGAGGCCAGGGAATTCATCAAAACCGTCAACAATTTGCAGAAGGCGATGCACTTCATCGTCAAGGAGGATTCCGGATCTGAAAAGTTGGTTCGAGCGCAGAATCTGATGCAGATTGCAATGAAGAGGCTTCAGAAGGAGTTCTACCAGATTCTGTCCATGAACCGGGCTCACCTAGACCCCGAGTCGGTCTCGACTCGGTCGTCGCGCACATCGACCGGTTCCAGCACTTCCTACAATGAAGACGAAGACGACGATGACGTCATCAGAGCTGCTGATGACTCGATTACCGAAGTTGAAGATGCTTCGCTTTCGGCCATGGCGGATCTGAAATTGATCGCTGAGTGCATGATTTCGTCCGGCTACGCTAAGGAGTGCTTGAAGATTTACAAAATTATTCGGAAATCGATTGTTGATGAAGGAATTTACAAGCTTGGGGTTGAGAAATTGACGTCTTCTCAGATTCATAAAATGGATTGGGAATCTGTGGAGCTGAGAATTAAGAACTGGCTTAACGCCGTTAGAACTGCCGTGAAGACTCTCTTTAACGGCGAGAGGATTCTGTCAGATCACGTTTTCGCCAGCTCAGATTCAATCAGGGAATCGTGCTTTGCGGAGATCACTAAAGACGGAGCCACGCTTCTGTTCGCGTTTCCGGAAAACGTGGCGAAACACAGCAAAAAATGGCCGGAAAAAGTTTTCAGAGTTCTAGACATGTACGCCGGAATCTCCAATTACTGGCCGGAGATCGACTCGATTTTCTCATTCGAATCAACGATCCCCATCAAGTCGCAAGCGCTGACGTCACTGGTCAAGCTCGGAGAGTTCGTCCGCGCCGCGCTGCACGACTTCGAGTCGGCTATTCAGAAGGATTCCACAAAATCGCCGGTCGCCGGCGCCGGAAACCACAACCTGACAATCGACGCGATGGAATACCTCACAAATCTCGCCGATTACAGCAGTATTCTGTCGGACATCCTGGCAGACTCTCCGCCGGAGACGAAGAAATTAATGCCGGAATCGTACTTCGGATTCTCCGATACCGAGGAATCTCCGGCGCCGGCGATATCTCTGAAAATGGCGTGGCTGATCCTAGTCCTCCTCTGCAAACTCGACACAAAGGCAAAGTACTACAAAGACGTTTCCCTAGCGTACTTATTCCTCGCCAACAACCTCCAATACGTCGTCGTAAAGGTGCAAACCTCGAACCTGAGATACATCCTCGGCGACGAGTGGCTGACGAATCACAAATCCAAGATCAAACAGTTCGCCGCAAACTACGAGCGGTTAGGGTGGGGCCACGTCATCGACTCTCTCTCCTCTGTCAATCCAACGGCCGAGGACACTCCTCCCGAAAAAGTCAAAGAAACTTTCAAAAAATTCAACGCGTCGTTCGAGCAGGCGTACAAGAAGCAGGGTGTGTGCGTCGTACCGGATAACAAGCTCCGTGACTATATAAAGGTTTCTATTGCGAGAAAGATAATTAGACTGTACCGCGAGTTCTACAACGCCCACAGGCAGAAAATGGTGGGAGAGAGAAATTCTGCAGTAGTTGTCAGATATGCCCCTGAAGATGTGGGCCACCACTTATCGGATCTGTTTTTTGGCAATATTGAGTCAGGGAGTTCTTCGTCATTTTCGTCTCCTTCTCCTTCCCATTCTCAACCACGACGATCAGCTGATTGAGAATTTAAAAAAAAATTAAAAAAAAAATATTATAGTATATAAATATATAATTAATGCATATTATTACAAGTCCAGAGAATATAATATCATCATAGGAAAGTGTATTTCCATACCTTCTCGGTGATTAATTCTTGTATATGAGTATACAATTTGAGTGGATAAAATGAATTTATTTGGAAGAATTTTATAATAAATTATACTATTTGTGATCAAATGTTGTTTTTTATTTCGTATGTTACCTACGAGAGTTGTGAACCAAACTGGTTAAGGTGACGAGACGAGTTCAACCTAGAAAGTATCGTCAAGAAAAATCGATCTCGAGTCAATTATTAATATGTTTGTACATTTACAATAAGAATAATAAACTATTATTGGGTTTGAAAAATAATAATTGATTTACTCAAAAAAAAAAATAATAATAATAATTGAAAGATGTTTTGTGCAGTCACAAGTTTGAAAACGGCGTCGTAATGGAAACAAACACGCGAACATTCACATGCATGCATAGCTACGTTGCCATGGTCAATCAAATAACGGTTTTTCTATTCCGCTGCAGAATATTATTAATTTCTTCTGTCTATTTTATTTTTTCTTCTCGTCTTCCAGAAACATCCCCCTTAACAATTTATGTTGATTTTGAATTTATTAATTAAATATATATTTTATGATTTCGATGGCTCAAATTTTTTTAATTATATTTTATGAATAATTAATAAATAAATGCAGAGGTAAAAAAAAATCATAGTCTCAGAATAATAAAAACAAAAGAAAAAAAAAGCCACTTTGCAGGAACAAGTCAATCTCCCAAACAAGCCCTCCATCATTTATTCATAAATTAAAAATGAAACAAATTCCAACTATTAAACCGATCACATCGTGTAGTCTATAAAGTATAAACTAAAATTTCATCATATGCAACCAATTCAGTTGAACTTGAACATCATCACCATATATAACGGAATTAATGATTGATGGTGGGGGACGGAGCGGAATGATGAACCGGTCCTCTCGGCAGCTTTCCGAACACATACTTTTCCGCCGGAGAATAGGGTTTTCCTGCAGCCGGCAGCTCTCCGGATACAGATTGTTTCAGGGCGGCAGAGACCGCCACTGGCCTCGCATCTGCACGGTGCCCTAAAAGCACCACCGCCACAAAAAGAGACACATACAACAAGAATGCAGTGAACTTGTTGCCAGCCATCTTCTTCAACACAAAGATATATTCTTGTGAGTTTTTTTTTTTCTTTCTTTTTTTTTTTAATCTAAGTGTTTGAGTTATTCGTTTCTACGAGGGACGATAAATACTATTTTGTAAAACATTTAGTTTTGGAATACTCAAATTGTGATTTATACTAATTCGTTAATTAAATTTTTTTTCTCTTTTTGAGTAAGTAATATCATTAAATTTTTTTTCTCTTTTTGAGTAAGTAATATCATTAATTTTTTTTTCTCTTTTTGAGTAAGTAATATCATTAATTTTTTTTTTCTCTTTTTGAGTAAGTAATATCATTAAATTAATTGCGATATTTCTTTAATTCATTATTGTCAAAACGGATATGTTCTAATTAGCCTTTATTGTTTGATTTATACATATGTATATATAATATATATTTTTTATTCAAAATTGATGTGTTAGATTTGAAAGTGTGTGCGTGGCCCGTCTGAATACGGGTCAAGTTTTCAAGCCCAAGAATTTAGATCCAACCCAAAATTTGCCTGAAACTAAGCTCGGCCCAAATTACTAGACTGCCCCAATTCCAGTTCCAGTTCCAATTCCAATTCAATTCCAATTCCAATTCCAATTTCTGATTTTTCCGAAGCATGCCTGTTGTACTATAAAAAAACCTTCATTCATTTGACTATAGGATATAGCAACTAGGAAGCAAGCCTGCTGTAATCCAAATAAAACACAAAAATACTATAAAGTAAAATAAGTAGAATATTATTATTGCACAGACGAAAAAGCCATATCCGTGTTCGTCTCAACCTAGGAAAGCCCCTCCTGGATGAGAAGAAGAAAAAAACATCGGAACGTACAAAAAAAAAAAAAATAGTGACTCAACCGTACAAGCTCTGTCTAGCTACGAGGATCACTTATTTCCGAATGTTTTACTCTTGTGTCTATATATGTATAAGAGTAATATATAAATATACACACACACAACAAATAGAGTTTACTAAGAAGTCGGTAGATCAGCAGGTCGAGGGATACCTTGCCATCCAGTGCAGTTTTGAAGAAATTGTTTAAGATCATTAGTTGCCGTTTCTACGGTCCATGTCTGATAATATTCACTAGGCTGAAATACGCAACTCTCACTCGGTAGTGGCACTAAACCTGGTTGAGTTCCAGTTACGAATAGGTCGCCTTCTGATCTAATGCACCCCGTACATTCCTGCGCTTTATCAGCTGCCTGCAAAAAAAAAAAAAAGGCAACAATTTCGATTACAATATGAAATAGCTATAGATACATGTTTTCATTGTATAATGTATACAGGATTGGTGAAGGTTTAACGCATTTTTAAAACAAAGACACGTGGACATTAACAATGCTATTATGTATTAACGGCATATCGAAACACGTCGTACCTTTTCTGTGTAGTATTTGAAGGCCACCTTCTTTTGGCCAGCTTCGTAAATGTTGCACTGCGAGTATATCTATATACGGAAAAAAAGGAGATCACTTTAGCAATAATTAAAAATTAAACTAGTGCAAAATAAATAAATAAACAATATTTCATAAATCGTCACCTGTGACTCTACACTTGCACAAACAGCATATATACCCCAATCTCTAGTGTAGTTATTGTACAAATGAACTTTCCCAAATCTGACACGCGGATGCCTCTGTCGAGTTCCATCAAAGAAACAATGGTGTATGGTTATGCGTATGCATCTATCACCCGTATGCGTAGGATCGGCCCCTATTAGCATAGTTTTATCATGATTTGCAAAATAACACCTGAAATAAACAAATATATAAAAGATCAAGAAAACCCAAAACGTAAATATAATTATAAAAAAAAAAAAAAAAAAAAAAAACGTTTGAAAGTCGTAGCTAACCGAGAGATGGTAATATCGGTGCTCTGTCGAGTGATATCTATCAATCCATCGTCGTAATCACTCAGGCTGCATCGATCTATCCAAATATGCATTGAATTAGGCTTGATTTGAATTCCATCAACGTCGTGCCCCCTACCCCCTTCGAATACTAGATTGCATATAATTACGTGTTCGCATTCTTTCAACCTTAACCCTTTTCCGGTGAGTTTAATTCTTTGACCACGCCCATCAACGGTCTTGTAAGAGGAAACGTTTAGATACGACGAGAGTTCAATTGTGCCTGAAACTTCGAATACAATCCATAAAGGCTCTTTTCTCCGACATCCCTCGCGTAGTGATCCTGGCCCGTCGTCTGGAGCAAAAAAATAGCAACCTAAATTACGTTCAAGCGTAAATCGTGCTTATGAAAATGACACAGTACATACAATTCGTAACATTGGTGTTTCACGCGAAAACAAGGGCTTGTCGATTTAGAAAACGAGCATCGTGTTTCGGAAAATTCGATCGGAACTATCGAATGCATAACACCACCAAAACTGCTAATTTACAATTGCTAGAAAATCCTAGAAGTAGATCTCTCCAATTAAATGTTACTAAAAATAACTTTCATGATCAGTAATTCTTACATTCCAATAGAACACAACAACCAATAACCAAAGAAATTGAAGAAAAAAAAATAAAAAATAAAGCAATAATGTTGACGAATTTTCCTTACCGGCTAGGGTTACGACACGGTAAACGGCGCCGTTTAGTCCGCCGACGGCAAAACGTCCGAAGCCCTCAGCTTGTCCGGCCAGAGAGCGCAGGGTGATATCCACGTGGCTGTAGAGCAAACGCGAACCCATAGTGGGGTATCCGATCGGGGCGGAGGTTGTCGGTGCCGATTGATCGGAATATGGTCCGAATTTATACGGCGGAGCACGATTGCTGTTGTGATTTCCCATTTGACAACCGGAGAATATAATAATAATATAATTTGTCGTGGATTTTGAGACTGGGATTTAATCTTGCATTAAATAATGAGCTGATATTTTCTTATTTTTATTCAATTTTTAATGGTGAAAACAGAAAAGTGAAATGAAACCGGCCGACACTTTCTCCATTTGCTAAGTAAAGAATTTATACTTAAGCTAATTATGATAATTAAGTTATAATTTAACTTAAGATTATGAGCTTAGATCCATAATTAAGTTTAGTTTATCAACTGGACTTAAAATGATCGAGTCTTTCTCCAACTTTTTACTCGCAATTGTTTGCCCATTGGCCCGAAGCAATAATATCGGGTTCGGGTAAGCCCATTAAAATTGTTTATAAATCTTTTTTTCTTTTGAGAATATTTATAAGTCTTTCAGAATAATAATAACAATAATAATGCGTAAATTATAGGCACCCATGAAGTTAGATTAAATTACGAAAACACATATCTTGTTTGGGTAATTAAACCACCTCCCTTAACTATGAATCTCTACATGTCCACCTTTGATACGTTAAATTTAGTAGAATCTTCTAGATTATGTTTATTTCATTCGAGCTTTTACATTTTGAAATAAGATAACCTAACATGTGTTTCTTGGCTTGGAAATATCAGATTACGGTGCATCATAAACAACATTTTTCCACAAAACAGATACAAATTAATGAACATATCACGAAATCTAGAAGATTGTGTTGAATTTGACAACATAAGAGTGAACGCGTTAGAAAACTCATAGTTGATGATCGAATGTAATTACCCGAACATGAGGGGTTTTTTCGTAATTTAACATTGCCTCGGGGGTTGCAGTAATTTACCCTAATAATAAGTTTGATTTTTAATCGGAAACTATCAGTTATAAGTTATAACGGTAATTTTGATTTTGTTTCGTCTTTGATTATTATTAATTTATTTTATTAAAATAAATAAAATTAATGAAAAAAATTATAAATTTGTTAAATAATAGATGTATATATATGTGTGTTAGTTAACTATTTGGAAATGTCGTTAAAAATGGGCACAAGGTGACCGACAATAATATGGTAGGTCCGGCGGCGTCAATATGCAATTCCAACCTACCGTTATAAATTCAATTCCCACCACCACCGCCGCCGCCGTTGGCCGCTCTCTCCTTCGCCTCTGCGTACGACCTACATGTAAAATTAAACAAATTAAAGTAATGGTTTATTAGCACAACAAATCAATTTATTAAAAAAAAAAAAAAGATTACGTTTTTTCCCCGACAATGGCTTCCATCAACAGAGAAGGTATGCATCCCCAATTATTCCGGCAAAAACAATCAAAATCTGTTATTGAGAAGCTCAATTGTTTGGAACAGTAATTTTTTATTTATTCGATTTGCTTTTGATTTTGATGAATCCGATGAACAGGTGAGAGAGATCTCGAGATGGGCGTCAATGTCGAGCCTCCGTCACCATCGCCGTCACCCTCTCCGCGTGCGCCGGCGTTGGTGGTATCAGCTTCCAACAAAACCCTAGCTGCTTCAAGTTCCGGCAAGGCTCTGGTGGTCTCGAACTCCGGTAAAGCCCTAATCGTTTCAAATTCCGGCAAGAGATTCGACCAATCGGGAAAGAAGAAGTACGTGAAGCAGGTTACTGGTCGGCACAACGACACCGAGCTCCATTTAGCCGCACAGAAGGGTGACCTGGATGCAGTGAGGCAGATAATTGGGGAAATCAACGAGCAGATGCTTCAGACTCTGAAGGGGGCGGATTTTGATGCTGAAGTGGCGGAGATCAGGGCGGCCGTAGTTAACGAGGTCAACGAATTGGGGGAGACCGCTCTTTTCACGGCGGCAGAGAAGGGGTACATTGATGTGGTGGAGGAGTTGTTGCCTTACACTACGGATGAAGGAATTAGGACAAAGAATAGGTCAGGTTTTGATCCATTACACATTGCTGCAAGTCGAGGCCATCATGGTAATTGGAATTTTTTTCTTCGTAACTTTGTTCAAGTGTTCGATATGAACGGCTCACTTTTAATCGTCAGATTTATTGATGGTTACATGCTGTGACTTTCGTTCCGTTAGTATTACATTACATGGAGTTCACCTTATAAATTGTGTGATTTTGTTCTTCCATCACCCCCCCCCCCCCCTCGATTTGCGAGTGAAATTAATATTTGGTGATTATTTAGTTTTATTACTATAATACATCAGGTTTTGTGTCAAGATGTGTTAAAATTTAGAGGCATGTCACGCTCACTGACGGATTGTAATGACCTGTAATGGTAATCATAAATTGGCGAACGGAGGATTGAGATGAAAAGTTTGGAGAGTCTAATCATACATTTTCGATGGTTTAGCATATACCTACTTCAGATACTTGAACATGCTAAAAAATGTGTCATCACTTTGTTTTGGGAGAATTTATTAGTTGGTGATTCTCATTATCGGATAACATGATTTCTTTCGAGAGCGTGATATTCGATATCCGATATTCCTCATCCATCCTGCAAGTACTAACTGTGTTTTTTTTTTGGTTGCAGATATTGTCCAGATACTGCTAAAGCATGATCCAGAGCTGAGCAAAACAGTTGGTCAATCAAATGCAACTCCTCTGATATCTGCAGCAACTAAAGGACATCTAACAGTTGTCAAGGAATTGCTTTCAAAGGATTCTAGCTTGTTAGAGATACCAAGGTCCAACGGTAAAAACGCATTACATTTATCTGCCCGTCAAGGCCATGCAGATATCGTAAAAGCATTGCTTCAGAAGGACCCTCAATTGGCCAGAAGAACCGATAAGAAAGGACAGACTGCACTTCACATGGCTGTAAAAGGCGTTAGTCGGGCAGTTGTGAAGTTGCTTCTGCAGGCAGATGCAGCTATTGTCATGCTTCCCGACAAATTCGGTAACACTGCTTTACATATCGCCACAAGGAAAAAGCGTGCTGAGGTATTTATTTCAAATATTTTAAATTCAATTGAAGTATATTTGTGGTTTAGTGATCTATGGTGTAATTGCAGATTGTGAATGAGCTCTTGATGCTTCGTGACACAAACGTTAATGCGCTGACAAGAGACCACAAAACTGCTCTAGACATAGCCGAAGGACTCCCTCTATCCGAAGAGATTGTGGAAATAAAAGAGTGCTTGGCTCGTTATGGTGCTCTCAGAGCCAACGATCTGAACCAACCGCGAGACGAGCTTCGGAAAACCGTATCGGAAATCAAGAAAGACGTGCACACTCAGCTCGAACAAGCCCGCAAAACGAACAAAAACGTAAACGGTATAGCAAAGGAGCTAAGGAAGCTCCACAGAGAAGGCATAAACAACGCCACCAATTCAGTCACGGTGGTGGCGGTTCTTTTCGCCACGGTGGCATTTGCCGCCATCTTCACAGTTCCTGGCGGCGACGATAATAACGGGATGGCGGTGATGGTGAGCAGCCCGTCTTTCAAGGTGTTCTTTATATCTAACGCGGTGGCACTCTTCACTTCGTTGGCGGTGGTTGTGGTGCAAATAACGGTGGTGAGGGGCGAGATAAAATCGGAGAGGAGGGTTGTGGAGGTGATCAATAAGCTGATGTGGCTGGCATCCGTTTGCACCACCGTGGCTTTTATCTCATCCTCGTACATTGTTGTCGGGCGGCATCATAGGTGGGCGGCGATTCTTGTCACCGTGACTGGAGCGGTTACTATGGCTGGGGTTTTGAGTGCTATGACGTATTATGTGGTGAAATCGAGAAGGATAAGGAGAGTGAGGAAGAAAGAAAAGTACTCGAGGAGTGGAGGGAGTTCGTGGCGTCACTCCGAAACCGATTCGGAAGTAAATCCTATATATGCTATTTGAATTTTTCTTATAAAGAAACAGATCAGTCTGGAGAAGTCATATGATATGTTCAGCTCGAACACATCATATTTGTCATTGGGGATGTAATAAAGAAACTAACTGATTTGGTGGGGCCAAAGTTAAGCTTCTGGAGAGAGAGAGAAAGAGAGATGTATATATAGAGAGAGAGAGAGAGAGAGGGAGTACTCATGGTGAATACTATGTCGGCAAAGTGTAACACAAAAGATACTGTTCATAACAACAAAATTCATCAAGAATTTATTTATGGTCAAAAGTTTGCTCCCATTATTACAGCTTCTCCAGAGTGATTGTTCAGACCAAATGTCAACTTCTTCTTCTTCTGCACTCTATTACTGTAATTAAAATATATATTCATTTTCTTCCATAATATGATCAAGATTATTCTGGAAGGATGTCTTTATCCATGACTCGTCGAGTTTCTGACCTTTTACTACACTACAACGATAGTGTTAAAAACAGGTTAAAACGGTGGGGCCCACACCCCACCCCCCCCACCCACGAGGGGTCCTTATTAGCAGGCCGGCTTGGACTCTGACTTTCATCAGGTTTATTGTTTTTTTTTTTGGTCAACGTCAACTACCACCATTTTTTTTTTCTTGATGCTTTTTTTCTCTATTTCAGTGTACAAATTACATAAAATTCGAATATTTATATAGTTGGTAGCTATATTATGAAGTTATCAATATACAAAAAGCCCACTTGACTAACTGATCGTTGTTAATCCTTAATTTGACATAGTATGTGATAAGGTTCTTGGGTTTATTTATTTATTTATTTATTTATTATTAATAATGATAATAATAATGGATATTTGTTCGTTTAATCAAAAAGAACAAGTGAGTATCTACCCATGTGGTTGGCTTTTGTTTTGTTGCCACTGATTGTTTGGCCAATGTTACTTCTTCACCTCTATGTTTCTTTGTCTTTCTGAATGATTTCTCATTAATTCCAAAAGAAACCCTCTGAACATCAATTAAGAACTGTCTTCAATAATCAATTGAAGTCGATGAAATTTCAGGTAATGAATCTTCTTGTCTTTACAGCTTTTACTTTGCTTTTTTTTTTTTTTTTTTGGGATCTTTTTCGGACAAGATTATTTATATGATTGATTTTTTTTTTGTCTTGTCTGAAATTGGATTAAACTTTTTTCCAAACTTGTGTAGTTTTTAACTCTTATCTGAAAATTCACAGGTTCTTGGCTTTTCAAGGGCAGAATGATTGGTGAATGTTGACTTGAAAAGCTATAACCGTGTGGAAATATTAAAGTGACTCCCACTGTAAAAGAGTGTGAACAGAATTTCTTTCTTCTTTTTTTTTTTTTAACATTTGTTGGGTCCAGATTGTGTCACATATCACAAAAATCAGATAAAAAAAACAAAATCTTGCCATATTCTCCACTCACTCTGTCTGAATATGATAACTTTGAGGTGCCAAAAACCCTAAATTCGATCTGGGTTTACTGAATTTCTGCTCAAGATGAAATCTTTTTGCTGCCACAAATGAATATTTGATCTGGGTTTTCCCTAGTAAACAAAGATTTGACAGAAAAGAAAAAAAAAATTGTAGTTGAGATTTCCAATGGAAGCTCCAGCTGGGCAGCAGAGCTTCCCCAAGAAGCAGATGAAGAAACAGTTAACCGGAAAACGGGACGATACGGCGCTTCATTCAGCTGCAAGATCAGGGAACTTGGAATTGGTTTTGGAGATTATTAATGGTGAAAGTGTGGGGGAAGAAGAATTGAGAAAGTTGCTGTGTAAACAGAACCAATCTGGTGAAACTGCTCTTTATGTGGCTGCTGAATGTGGCCATGTTAATCTTGTACAAGAGTTTGTAAAATACTATGATGTTGGCTCTGCTGCCATCAAAGCTAAAGGCTTTGATGCTTTCCATATTGCTGCCAAGCTAGGTGAATTAGGTGAGCATATCTCTCTTTCATTTTCATTTGTTGCTTAATTCATTCGTATTTTCATACGTATATCGATTTGCAGACGTGTTGAAGGTTCTCATGGAGGCTATACCACAGCTGTTAGCCACAGTCGACCAATCAAACACCACGGCGCTCCACACAGCCGCAGCGCAAGGTCATATCGAGGTGGTCGGTTTTCTCTTGGAGAAAAACAGTAGTTTGGCTACGATAGCAAGAAACAACGGTAAAACGGCTCTCCATTCTTCGGCAAGAAACGGTCATTTCGAGGTGGTGAAATCCCTTTTAAGCAAAGAGCCGGGAATCGCTGTATGGAGTGACAAGAAGGGACAAACAGCCCTTCACATGGCGGTTAAGGGGAACAACACTCAAGTCATCGACGAGCTTATTTCTTCCGACGCTTCTTTGCTAACAATTTCCGATGGAAAGGGCAACACTGCATTGCACATAGCCACACGAAAAGGTCGCCCTCAGGTATTGTACATAATCTAATCATATGTTCGTATGTTTAATGAAGCTCTGTTCTTATCATCGTAAATCTGCACAGATTGTTCAAACTCTACTGAAACATAAAGGGCTCAACAAAGAAGCCATTAACAAATCAGGAGAAACTGCTTTAGACACGGCCGAGAAATCGGGCCATTCAGACGTAGCGACCATTCTCCGAGAAAACGGAGTCAAGAATGCTAAATCCCTAACCCCACAAGCAAGAGAACTCAAGCAAACCGTGAGCGACATAAAACACGAAGTCCACGACCAGCTGGAGCACACACGCCAGACTCGGAAAAAAGTACGAGGCATAGCCAAACGCCTCAACAAGATGCAGTCCGAGGGTCTCAACAATGCAATAACCTCGACGACGGTTGTTGCTGTCCTAATCGCCACGGTGGCGTTCGCCGCCATCTTCACCGTGCCAGGCCAGTACGTGGACGACCCGAAGAATATCCCGGCGGGATTCTCCGCCGGAGAGGCGAACATCGCCCCGAACGTCGAGTTCACTATCTTCTTGATATTCGACTCGCTCGCGCTCTTCATATCGTTGGCGGTTGTGATAGTTCAGACGTCCGTTGTGGTGGTGGAGAGAAAGGCGAAGAAGCAGTTGATGGCGGTTATCAACAAGCTGATGTGGCTGGCTTGTGTGTTTGTGTCGGTGGCGTTTCTTGCACTGTGCTATATAGTTGTCGGGGATGGAGAGAGGTGGTTGGCTATTGGAGTGACTATTATAGGGACTTTGATTATGGCGACGACACTTGGCACTTTGTGTTATTGGGTGGTGATGCATAGGATCGAGGCTTCTAACTTGAGGAGTGTGAGGAGGAGCAGTAGGTCACAGTCGTGGTCCGTGTCGGTCGTTTTATCGGACTCGGAAAGTGGCGAGGTTGACAGGAATAAGCTATATGCTCTGTGAAGTACATGTCTTAACATGTGAACACATCTATGTGTGTGTATGTATGTAATATTGTATAATGTTTTTTTTTTTCTTTCTTGTCTTTTGTAATGAAGGAAATGGCTGGTTATGCCTAAGTTAGGTTGCGGATAGAAGAAGAGTTGGTTCAGAAATCAGAAGTGTTTTGCTGATTGTACTCAGTTTGCTCTGTATTCAACCAATCATACATCATTTTCAGATTAATATTACATTAGCATTTTGATGCTCTCTCTCTCTCTCTCTCTCTCTCTCTCTCTGGAAGTTGCCTTTACACATGAAAGCAAGGTGGTGCTGTTATATAAGTAAGATTCCCTAAACCACTTTTACTACTTTGTGTTGACTGTCAAAAGAGAAGATTTTTTTAAGTACACAATTTCACTTTTGTTCAGGTTCATGTGTGAGACCTTTTTCTCACATCCTAAAAGCTATTTAAAATATAAAAAAATTAAAAATTAAGAATTAAAAAAAAAAATGAATCAGTTTATCTTTGAAGGAGGTAAAACTCTGTGCACTGTAATGCAATTTTTTTTTTACTGAATCAATCTGCATGAGTTAAAACTTAAAAGTACTCACATTGTACTAGTACAAGATTTTGAGTTACAAAATCTGCAGAGACTTCTTGCAGTGAGCAATGGCTGCATCGATCGAGACCTCAATCTCAGTGGCGCTGCTATTCCTCTTCAGAGATTCCATTTCATAAAGACCGCTCGAATTAAACGAGGAAGAAGACGATGAAGCGCCCGATGAAGACGAAGACAAGCACTTGGTCGGAGAATGTCGTTTTATCGCTCCGGAAAACGACTTTCTTTGGACATTATTACCCTCGATCCCCTCTTTATCAATGAGAGCAGCTATTCTTGGATAAGCAGTTCTCGAAATAAGTTCCATCGGCTTTTTCTTGACAATCTTGAAACTTGCCTCGGCTTTCGACGAATTTGGTGAGGAAACTACGGGCTTCGCAAAGAGAGATTTGAGAAAAGCTGTTGAAGATTTCAGCTTCTGAACGAGGATGGAGTGCTTAATCAGCTTCAGCTTTTTGGAGGAGTAAGGCTTCAGCTTTGTGGGGTAGCGGTTATTGTTGTTGATGAAACTGCTTAACTCGGTTGACCATTCAAAGAAATAATCGTCTGGTTTGAGCTCACAGCTCACACGGCAAGATTGTGACGGAGAAATGTTGCAAGAATCTAACGGTGTGTTTGTGGTTTTGGTGCATGGTGCTGTTGAGCAAGTGAATAATGGGATTGAGTACTTGTGGTCTTTCTCAAATGCCTCTTTGGTTATACTACTAAAAGCGGCGGCGGCGGTGGTGGTGGTGGTGGAGGAGTGGAGGAGGAGGTTTTGGAGAGGGAGGAGTTTGCCTTTGAAGAAGAGCTCGTCGGCTGAGCAAGCGGTGGCTTGTTTTTCGTCGCTAGCGAACGACATTTGAAACTCGAATTCTTTTTTCGAGGGCGATGAGGTTATTTCCATTTCTATGTATTCTTCATTTTTGGCCATTTTTCATCAAATGTGAAACTTAGCAGAAATTGTGTGTGTGTGTGTGTGTCTGTGTGTGTGTGAGCTTATTAATGAAGAGGAGAAAAAGGGCAGATGATTCTTTAAAAGAGGGGATGGGGGTTCCAAGTCAGAAAAGCAAGAAAAAACATTTTTTGTGGAAATGCTATTTATATATTTCTTATGTAAAGTAACACTTTTTATATTGCAATAAACAATATAGAAAAAAAATTCAGACCAATAATTAAATTTTAAGTTCGTTTTCTTACAGCATCAAAAATTATGTTCAAGAAAAAACTCAGGTTCCTGAATATATGTGAAAGAACAAAACAAAAGTTTGAATTTATTTATTTATTTTATTATTTTTGAGAAAAACAAAAGTTTGAATAAAACATATTCAAATTTCAATTCTGATAACAGAAGAGATTCCTTTAAAATCATTACTCTAATCTGGCATTTCTTAGTGCATCTGCTCATGCTTTACAGGACCTGGATTTTCCCACTTTAATCCCAAAAAAAGAAAAAATAATAAAAACAATTAAAAAAATAAAATTGGGAAACAGCCCATTCCTCAAAACCTGGTGTTTTGCACCCCTCACCATAATTATTTAATTTCAAGAAATGGTCAAAACATGGGCATATATTTATATAGTTAAACTAGGGTTCCATATTTTTATGCATCCCAAGCAATAGCCTTTTGTTTCCAAAGCCTCTTGTAATAAAGTCCCTCCTATCCACTCACCATACCTTAAAATAATAATCTTGTTCAGATAATTTCAAAAAAAATATATCTTTTAATTTCAAAAAAAAAAAAAAAGATTTATTTGAGCAAGTACTCATGGTGTCATGCAAAACATCATATGATTTTTGTTTTCATGTAAGAAGAAGAGGCACATTTGTAATTTCTACATCACACAGTTCACATGCCAAGATTTTCTTTTACTTTAAAGGATTTCCCATATATATATATCAGTAAAAAGCTGCACTAATTAAAAAAAAAAAAAAACAATATGGAAGAAAAATAATACAATAGCAACAGCTGCTTTATTTGTTAAGGAACTTTGTAAACCTCCTTTTTTTCGTACAACATGGTTGGTCTACGGTTTACACAAATGAGTTTTCTTTCTACACATAATAACGAGCACAGCCCCCCCAAAAAAAGAACATTCTTAAGAAGGAAAAACGATGAATCGAAGAATACTTGTCTCGGAGAAACGGAAGCTTCTAGAAGTTAATCAATGTCGGGCAATGGCATTTTCCAGTAATTCCATGAGTTGTAATCTTCCTGCTAAGCCATCACAGTTTATAATGTGAGATTTTATTTTTAACCGTAAAAAGTTCACAATTTTTCGAATTATTTTTTTTAATCGATTTTGTCTTTCCTTTATAAAGTAGTACCTGCTCAACGAGTGATGTCGGTGGGAACATGTCATGCACCAGTGTATGCAGAGAAGTGTACGATTTCACATCAATACGGTGATTAATTGCCACCTCACCCTGTAATAAGCAAAACGAGTTTACAAAAAAAAAAATTTGCATGTTTCGATTTTTTACTCTCGAAATATGTGGGAAGAAAAAAAAAAAAGAATACCTTGGGGTTAATTATAAAGATCTTGCCCTTTGGAATGCCGATTTTTCGGTAGCTAAGCTCGTCAGTATCTCTGTTACCAAATCCCGCGTAAAATGGATTGTAATCAGGGGGGAATAGAGCCTTAATATCCTGCAAAATTATATTCATGACAAATTTAGAAAGCTAAAAAGCTAGTGCGATTTTCTCCAAATTTAATAGCAACATTATTTACCTCCAAACATGCAATTTTGAACTCGTGTGGAGCTCTTCTAATTACTGCCATAATTGAAAGAAAAAAAAAGTATGTCAGATATATACGCAAAGAATGCATGTACTAAACTAAATGTATTCTTGTAGTGAATAGTACATATATATACCTTCTCGATACAATGAAGGAAATAAACCGTCAGGGGAAATAACAACAGGTCCATTCGGTAAGCTTTTCCCATCCTGCAACCATTTTTTTAACGAATTTCAAGATTCCATTTATGCATTTTAAAGAAACTAATAATTACTCGTGCAAGGCGTAGTAAAGTTACCTGCTTGAGATTGAAGAGAAAACTTTTCGTTAAGTATGCTTGAACAATTGCACGTGCACTCAGAAATAAGAGCTGGTACCCGTTTTCCTGTATCCCGAGTACCAATATATAATCACAATCGCAAACTTCGATAAAAACAATGGATCAAGAAACTATTAACCTATTATATATATATTCCCAAAATCAATACAGTGGATTTTAGGTATCGAAAATAGAATATTTGAGGGAGAACCTTAATTGCAGAAAAAAGACGAGCTATCCCAGAATGCGTCCAGTCTTTTCCAACCAGAGGCATAAACTGTCCAAGAACATCAGACCTACAAACAACCAAACGTGCCCAAGAATCAAGAAAACATAAATTCTGCCTTAGAAAAAAGTAAACTAAAAACGAAGAAACAGAATATCTTACTTAGTAATTGTCCCATCCACATCGGAAATCACAATCCGCGTATTCCACTTCCACAAGTATATATGAGCTTCCACCTATTTCAGTAAAAAGTAAAACTTAACGAAAATAAAGATTTTCCATACCCAAATAACAGTCTTATCTAATCAAGAATTCATTTTTATCCAATCAAGAATCCACTCACCTTCTGTGATCCAAGAACCCTAGTCGAAAAAATAAAATTCACCATATTCTGCCCCTCTTTAAGATTCAACGACGCAATTTGATCAGTAGTCGGCACATTCGTCCTCAAAATTTGCTTACGAGGAGACTTAGCAGTGGCTGAAGTGGGAGTCGAAACCGAGTTCGAAATCGAGTCCGAATCAACAAAAACATCCTCATTCGCAGAGTGGCTATGCTCTAACGTCTTAACCCTCCTAAACGGGATTGGCCAGAGCCTCCATCTTCTAGAAGGAGTCGAAGGCATTCCTAATTCATCCTCCTTTGCTTCCGTTTTATTGTTATTATCCTGTTCCACAGATATGACATCATGCAGTTCAACTTGTGGATCCAAACCAAAAGCTGCCATACCAAGAATTGTATGTGCAGCTTTATCCCATTGTAAATACTTCCCTCGTATTCTTACAATTAGGTTCTCGTCCTTCAGAATTTCATCTCCGGAAAGTTTGAACGCCTCCATTGAAATTCGGTTTTCCTCGAAGATTTTTTCTGCTGCGTCCGATCCCATTCCAGTGTGGAGCAGTTTTCCACATAGAGATATTTCCACCCCTGTTATATATAAAATAAAACGTAACAAATTAACAGTTAGCCAAATAAGTAGTGACTCCAAATTTTTAATGTTTTACAGACAGATGGCGACATTTCTTACCTGTAGATAAATCTGGCTTCATTTCTTCGACTTGTTTCACTGCTTCTTGATTATTATTGCTAACGGTTGTTTCAGAACCATCGTCATCCACATTTATTTCAGAATGATTGGACGATAATTCATCATCATTTCTTGACATTTCAAGATTGCCCTTTTCAAGCTCATCGTTTATCAATGAACTCGATGGAGAGTCTTTGCTATCCACAATTGTTGCAGAATCATCATGGACATGATGTAACTCTGGTGAAGATAATTCATCGTCATATCTTGATATTTCAAGATTACCCTTTTCGGGTTCATCGTTTATCGAAGAACTCGAAGGAGAATCTTTATTTGGATCATCAAGAACCTTCCCCGAAGAACCCTCATTTTCCCGATCGGCATTGGTAGACTGAACAGACAATTGTGGGAGATCCAAGCAACTTTTAAAAACCTCGTGCCTTATAAACCTCCCCGATTTATTTTCCGAATTGCCCTCAATCGAAAGCTCTTTGTTCACTTCACAAATATTTTCACTAGTAACATTAGGTATTGAAGGATCGAGCTCAGTTAAATAATCAGCAGTCCACGTATCATCGTCTCTATTATACTCTTCAGTCCCTTTACCAGGTCCAAGGTGAAACTGAGGCGTACTCAACTGAACATTTTCGGCGTTCGTCTCAGTGGACAATATAGGCGCTGTAAGTATATGACCATCCACACTAACCAAGATTACTTCCGAATCCGAATCTTGCGATTCCAATGCATGCTCAACACTATCTAAATTATCGTATCTACTCGAACCATATTCAGAAAACTCAACCGAACCCTCCAGAGAAGACTGTTCATCTTGAAACTCGTAAAATATCCGATCACTATCGGATTCGGTTCTCTCTAACCGGTCCATACCGAGGGGCGCACGTTCATCCCTCACATCCACATCAGCATCGTTAAAATCGGCACTGTCTTGTCTGAAATAATCGTTCCCTTTCGAACCGCTTTCGATTGTGCTATATTCAGTGCCATTATCCTCTCTTCCCACTTCGAGATTGTCCGATTCCTTAAATCCCTCGGCGGCGTCCTTGTCTGAATCCACTTCTCTAACGAAATATGCTTCGCCGGAGTTATCGAGATGCATGTGGAAATTCGATTCGACGCCATTGACTTCTATCCGCACTACCTTCTCTGCTCCTTTAAGAACACCTTGGAATTTACCGAAACGGACATACCAAGGTGTGCTTCTAAAAGTTCCGTCGTGCTGCTTAACGACAATTATGTCAACTGCACCACCGAATGGGTGAAACGGGGTTGCAACCGAGTACACTCCTTGGGTTATGAAGCTGCTAACTTTACCAACCACATTCATTTTCTTTCCTTTTCCCTTGCAAAAATACCCACCCCCAAAATCGAAAACTATTTTCAAAAATTAAAAAGGGATATCTTGCAATCCCTAATCAATATCAAACAAAATGTATTCCACCGAGCAAAGCAGAACTCTCAATCATTTTTTTCCAGTTCTTGAAATTGGCGATTGATTATCTGCATGCGGGTACAATCAACGCAATAAATTAACTGATCATGCATTAATTCTGCCGATCGACTCTCCCAATAAAAAAAGCCTAATCATAAAAGGAAAAATATATATATTTCACATGATGGTAATTGCCTAATTGGTAATCCAATCTGCGTTAATAACTACGATTGGAAGGTCAACTTGAGCCCTAAGAGCGCGTGATTTTCACATTAGGAAAATGAATGCAACACAGAAAAATTAGAAATCAAAACACAAAGAAAATCAAATCCAAACTTACATATCCAAGAATTCGCGAATTTCCCAGCAGGAAGGAAGAAGAAATCCGCGCACCCAGATATATATAAATATAAATATATATATCAGAGCTCAAAAGAAACTGAGTACAATCGCCGAATTTGTTGTTCTGAAAGAAGATTCCAGGAATATATTTTCGAGGGTCGTTTATTTCCCCTCTCTCTCTTCTCTCTCTCTACTTTCTCTCTCTAAATGGTAGGTGGTTGTGGTAAATTTGTATAGATGGGTGCTGTGCTGTTTCGTGTTGGTACGAAACCACAAATGGTGACTAGATAGAAAGCCGTATTTAATTTTTTCTCCTTTTTTTTTTTTTTTCTTTTTCTGGGAAGGCTAAATTTTTAATTTTTTGGGATGAATTTTTGGATAATTAAAACCAGATTCATACATATTTCCCCAGTTTCTAAAGCATTAAATAGGTAATGGCGTAATGCTCTCCAGTACACTAGTCTCTTATTTCGTCATTACCCCTTATATTTATACATATTTACTCAACCACCCCATAACTTTTTTCTTTTCTTTTTTTGTAGTGAATTTAAAACTTTGAAATTGACATTTTCCATCGCTTTGAACCAACGTAATTAAGTTGTCTTTAATGAAATTATATTAATTTAAATAAAACAATTCATGCACGAAAAACGTGGTGATGTACAACTCAACTGCTAAAGCATATGGGGTTAGGTGGGCCTTTTGGTTTTTATCATAATTCTTTTGTTTTGTTAATATTAATTTCCGATTTGACTAATCCGAAATAAATTTTCGTCTATTTTCTTTTCTCTCCAAAAGTCAATATATTATATAACATCAAAATAACACTACATAATTGTTACTCATAGTTATAAAATAATATTTGTACAAATTACAAAGTGTTTTTGTTATCAACGATGACGAAGAAATGTACCAAACAAAAGATAAATTTGGAAATCGAAAATCGAAAATCGGAAATCGGAAGTTGAAAATTGAAAAATCGAAAATAAATTAATATCCCACCTAAAATAATTAAATGCCAAGTATTCTTTGGCCGGTCGCACTTATGAGTGTCTCAAAAGGGACACACATGTGTAATGTGTTTATAACTTGATAGTATTTCTGGTCTAAGTTCAATCTTACTATTTATTAATCAAGAGTGTATGTATATATATATATATAAATAAATAAATATAAAAATATTGTTAAATGCATATAAATTGCTGGAAATTAGTAGATTAACATAACCAACGACAAACCAAACCAGGTATTTACAGCAAATACCAAGATTTGCAACATAGCAACATACTAGAGCATATTATACATGATGAACAGCTTGAAGCAGATGGTTTATCGTTTATAGGGATTTACGAAAATCCTTTTACCGCGATTTAAGGTTTTCAAAGTAGATGAAGGACAGAAAACGTAGAAACAAAAGGTCGTTTGCCAGACGCACAAAACTCTACCTTATAGATATATAATATATGTACTATTTGCGAATCCCGTAGCGCTCTGCCAAGCGTTTACCGTCACGAGAAACGCGGCCCATCGCCTCAAGTTTCTTACAGTTGACTCTCAAAGTCTCGGCTTGTCGTTCTGCAAGACTTTCTTCCTCCTTCAGTTGTTGCTACAAAACAAAAACCATAGCAATACTAATACTTATCAATAATTACTTGTAAAAAAGAATCTCAAAATAATCAATAAGATGAAAGAAACACGAAATTTCACCTCGAGTAAGAACGAAGCCTCTGCGGCGTGCCTCTTCACCACATTCTGGATTTTCTTAGCAATTTCAAAATCGGGATCTTTTTTCCGACGCCAGCTGTACTGTATTTCCCTGCCTGGTTTTCTTGGACGATTGTCAAACATCTCAACTTGAGCAGGCTTTGCTCTGACGGGCCTAGGCAGTCCACCAATCATGAACGATAGAGTGTTCATGTCGGTGATAATCCGTTGGGCGAGAGTTATGTTTGCCATCTCAACTAGAGCAGCCCGTGGGACGCCTTCCGGTTGCATGAAGGTGGGGATGAACTCAACACTTGCCACGTCACCAAACTGATTGAAAGCAGCTTTCACGACAGTTCCGGTAACTGCTGGCGATAGGTTGTCGATGTATATAGTCCTTCTAACTTTGTTTAGAAACTCGACATACTCTTCGGTTGAGTCCATGAACGATGCAAATGCTCCTGAACAAAGACGATACAGTAGGTTATCAGTAATTTCATACAAAGACTTAGCAAAGAAACGAGATTTCTTTAAGCCCATCACCCTGCATACACAATAGCTACTTATAGCTAGTAATCAACAAGAACATCATAATTGTACATACTCTAATGTAAGAGATTATTTAACTTCAACGAGAAACCACGATAAATGCAAAATCTGCCAGATAATCATATCATTATATGAAGGAAAGCACACACACACACACATCATATCACTATTCAATTTCGTGAAAATTTTCCATCTCAAAGCCTAAATATCCACATCATTTCACGGATACTTCATATCGTATTACGAAACAATATCCATAACCATAACACAGCAAGATAGGGAAAGCTTTGTTTAATTCCACCCCCCATTTTTCATTATCTTAAAACAAAACAAAATACTTCATACAATTTCCACACAAAACACTTTTCCCCTTTTCAAAACACATTCCAAATCATCTTCATAAAATACCCCAACACTCTCTCTCTCTCACACACACTAATACACGCACACACACACACATATCAACCAAATAAAATATTAGCAGTAACGAAGCAAGACAATATCAAAGACAAATATACAACAAATCCCTAACATATTGCTCCGAAACACAAATTCGCAGAAAAATCTCAAAACAACTGCCTAAAACGTACTGATTGGTTAAAAAGTTGAGGAGAACCCTACCAAATTGATGAGAGAAATTCCTATTTTCTTCAAGAGCAAAAGCAATTATACGATCTAAAATCACTTTTCCGATACAATTTTACTTTACCTTGGAAATTTGAAGAAGATAGGGTTTCAATTTTTCAAAGAGAAAAAAGTGGAGCTTGCAGAAACTGGCACTATATACCATTTGTAGACCGTTTTTCGAATAATTAAGCAAATATCTTAAGCGGGAAACTTACGCATCATTTTTTGCTATTTCCAGTCTTTAATTTAGACGTGGATATATAATTTTAATTTATCAAGATAATAATTATAAGCCCAATTGGAAATTGTAATTGAGTCCAGCTTGATGGATCCACGTTGAGAAAACAAATACATATTATGGGCTGTTAATTTCGTTAATTTTTTGAAAAAATATCTTAGACGTTTAAAAAATAAACTGTTGAATAGTAAATAAAATATTTAAATATATACCTATTTCATTTTATTTTTTTTAATCTTATAATAAGTAAAAAATAGATTATAAGACCATTATTCAAACACATTAAAAGTTAATTATAAAAATACAAATGTAATATAGCTTATCAGATGTTTAAAATAAGTTTAGCCAACCAAACGGATCCTAAGTTTTACACTACACTTAGTATAGTACACACCCTTGTAATATATATGTGTAATTTTACATTTATAAATTCTTCATTTGAATTTTGAAGGGGGAGAGTTAGATGTTACACCTCATTATTTAAAATAAAAAATTGCATAATGTTATATAAGAATTAAGAACTCATTTAATATAATATAATCACACGCAAATCTCATGATGTAACAACAAAGCATGAAAAGATTAAAAAAGAAAAAAAGAAATACGAATTATTAAAAAAATAAAAGAAGAAAAGAATTCCTCACTTTAATTAATTACTACATGAACAAAGCTACACGCCATGTTCCACAACATCTACAGTAGCAGCGCAAAACAGCACCCTCCGGAAAATAGCACGCACCGCCGCGCATGAAAATTCCCTCAGCCTCCTGACGGCCACGCGCCGCCGCAGCCCCTTAAACCTCCTCCGCCGGACCTCACGTTTCTCCTTTCTTAAAGCGATCATTCTCTCTCTAACTTTAACAAGGCATTTCATGGTTCTCTCAGGCACCGTCTCCTTTCTTGAAAACGTGTAGCTTCTGAGGTACATCTGCCTGCATGAAACGCTGTCCACCACCCTACTCCGCGGCCGGGCTCCGCCGTGCCCTGCCGCCGACTTAACAAACTCGGCGTCGGACTCCGGCCATTTGCAGATCTTGCTCATTTGTTGGTTGGTGTTCTCTGAGTTTTAGAAATGTGTGAAAGTGTACAATGGGTCCATATATATATTTATTTCCAAAATATAATTTCATAAATGTTAATTATAATTTGCAATTATTGCTTTTTTGTGCACTTTTTAATTAAAAAAAAAATGATGGCTATTGACTTATGGAAGACTATAAGATGCCAACTGTCTAGTAACAATCCTAATTATCGTGTATTTAAATTAAACATTTTGATCATTTTAAAAGTGAAATTAAAATCTAAGACTATTATATCAATATAGTGTTTCTATAAATCAAATAAATATGCCATGTATATATTTCATATGACTCACTTTAGCTTAATTCATAAGTAGTAATGGAATAAATCAACAAACTTTGTTGATCTATGTTACGATTTGTGAGAATCTTCGATTTCTTCCTCACTCAACAGCTCTTACGGTGATATGTCCCTCGAATATCACAAATGCCATTCAATTGGATAAATTCATGTCAATTCCGATGGAAAATACGTTGAAACTTGTAATACGGGGCCAAATGCAACTGCAACGAAATTTTGAAGGGGGAAAATCTAATTTTTGAATTTGTAGGGGCAAAGTGCAAAATAAAAAAAATCTAGGGGGCAATCCTATAATTGTTTCCTATATTTTATGACCCAATATGTAAGGTCCAAAAAGATAAGTAGGTCGAAAATAACTATTTTGATAAATATATTTGGTAAGAATTTGAATTGCGAAATTACAATAATAAATCCAGTGGTCTATTTGGGCCGGCCAATTAATGCTGGTTCCAGCCCACCTAGTGTTGATTCCAGGCCGTTGGATTAGATTGAATAAATCTGAACCGTTAAACGCGTCGGTTAGCAGGATATAAGTTTCGTTTAGATATTACCTATGCGCGCTCCGTCTTACGTTGTGTCCTGAAAAAATTAGGGTTCAATCATCTGAATTGGGGGATTTCATCTTCGAGGTATGAGCATTTATCTAACTCAATTCTCTCGTTTGTGCCCATTTTTAGGCTTGATTTTGGATATTTGTGCCTTTGTGAGTTCTGCAGAAATTGCGATTCTAGATTTCGATGTTGTTATTTTCGTTGATGTGTGGTGATGATTGAGTGCAGCTATTGATTTTTTCTTAATTTTTCTGTCGATGTATTAGGTTAGTATTTGGATTCACCAGTTTCTTATTTGATTGTTCTGGGGAATTCCCTGTGGGACTTGTGCGATTATTGACATTTTTGTTTTAGGGCGAGGTTTGAAAATTTTCTGGGATTTTTTTGGGAAATTGTTCTAAATTGTTTTAGATGACCATATATTAAAGAGTAATAGGCAAATTAGTATCTCAGCATTTAGTTTTCCTTAATAAAATGTGATGAATTTATATTTCGTTACACAAAATGAGAGAAATTTTCAGTGGTCAAATGCATATTGCACTGAATCGAATATATACTGGCTAAAGATCCACCTTTTATCTACATACCCGTTATGTGTGTGTCTCTTTGTCTCCGTGAAGGCTTGGGCCATTCTTTAACCAAAATATCACCCGGACATCACAGATTCCTATTTGGGGTGGATCGTTTCTGAAGCAGCTACTAGAATTTGCCTTTTTATTCAATTGACAAATTCATTTGATTAGTTCTTAATCTTCAGACTTCATCTTTCATCTTTATTCTAATAGTTTTGTTCTGCAGCTAAGAATGCCTCGTTACGATGATAGCGGCAACACTCGTCTCTATGTTGGTCACTTATCTTCAAGAACCCGTTCTCGGGATTTGGAGCATGTTTTCAGCAGATATGGAAGGTAATTTTTTTAAATGTTGTCTCTGGTTAATCAGTATTGTATTGTTACTGTCTCATCTTGAATTTGAATTTGTATATATGGTTCATTTGGAGGTCAGACTACTTATGTGGTTGTGCTTGTAGATATCCTTTGTATTCAATTTTCTTGCCTTAAATTTGTACTTGATTTCCACCATGGAGTAAAAAGGTGTGGCTGGTCCTGCTTTCTTGATTCTGAGTTCAATTGAGACCGTTTCTTACTTCTATAGAGTAAGAGTGATACTGTTGCCAACTATCTCTTTGAATTTTGGCACTGTGGTTAGAAACTAAACAGCCTTTAAATAAATTCTCTAATTTCACCTGGCTAAATGTATTCCTGATCTGGGATACAATAGGAACCGAGCTGGACTCTTGTAGCATTTTAGCATAGGTTATCCTTTGGTTTGGCTCTGCAAAGTTCCGTGACCGTAGGTTGTAGTTTTGCTTCTTTGTTGCAAGTAAGAATCTAATTGCCTGCTCGGCATGTTTCTTACTTGGGCATCTTTTTCATGTTATCTGTGAAGGAACAATGTGGCCATAGGTGCCGTTGAGTTTTAACTTTAATGATTCTGTTGAAGGTTTCTGAGCCTTTTCCTGACCTGGTGGTCAATGGTGGGAGGGTGGTGGCCTTTGCCTGACCAGGTGGTCAATGGTGTGAGGGTGGACCTTGTGGAATGTCTTGGCAAATTGTTTGAAGCCTTTGGCGATTCTTTCTATGTTGTCTTTACATGTTTTATGGAATTTGCAACAATCAAAACTGGTGTTTAGTTCGTCTTGAGGACCAAGTTTTGATGGCCTTACTGTTTCTGACAACCATTTCCGCAGAGTACGTGATGTGGATATGAAGCGAGATTACGCCTTTGTTGTACGTATCTACACTCTCTATTGCTTATGGTTATCAATGATCTTATATTTTTCATCATGTGGGAAAATCATTGAGTTTGTGTCACATACAATGTCTGTTTTCCTGTGTTTGTTTTTGTGTTCCTGTCCTAATATACAGGAATTTAGTGATCCACGGGATGCTGATGATGCAAGATATAGCTTGGACGGAAGAGATGTTGATGGACGTCGTATCACTGTTGAATTTGCCAAGGGGGTAAGTTTCTTTTCTTGCTTAATTAATTTTCTTTTGATTATTCTGGCTGGGTAATACAATATTTGACTTCTGTCTTTTTGACTAATTCCGGCTGTTGAATGGTATTGCTGCAGATCCCAAGGGGACCTGGAGGTGTTCGAGAATATGTTGGTAGAGGTCCTGCCCCTGGCTCTGGACGGTGTTTCAACTGTGGCATCGATGGACACTGGGCTCGAGATTGCAAGGCTGGAGATTGGAAAAATAAGTGTTACCGTTGTGGTGAAAGAGGCCACGTTGAAAGGAACTGCCAAAACAGCCCTAAGAAGCTTAGGTAAATGAATATATAAAAAATGGCGCTATAACGAGTAATGTCTTTATTATTCTTCATATGTTTCTATATATATTGAATTTTCATAAAAAAATTGCAAAAAAGACATACTTCCTAAACGATTTTCGATCGTGTGCAGCACTAGTAAACGTGGTAGGAGTTACTCACGGTCACCTGTGAGGTCCCGTTCTCCTCGACGTGGCAGGAGCAGGAGCCGAAGTTTCAGCAGGAGCCGTAGTTACAGGTTCTTTTCTTCTCCTAAAAAAAAAGTATTTATTTTTTCAGCATTACAAAATTTCGATTTATTTTTTGGAAATGTACGTAAACCTTTACTCCTTCACACAGTCGTTCAAGGTCTCCAGCTGCAAGAAGGGGGAGAGATGAAGAGAGGAGATCGAGGAGTCCACCTAGGCATAAGAGGCGCACTTCTTCTTCTCCATCAAAGACAAGGAAACGCAGCCCAACACCTGATATGGAAGACAATGAAATCGGGAGAGAGAAAAGAAGCCCTTCTCCTCCTGCTAAGGAAAAGTACAACAGTGATATCAGTCCAAAAGAAACTAGCCCTAGCCCAAGGGATGATGATAGAAGCCCTTATGCTGCTGCTGATGCTGCTGCCAATGGTGGAAATGGCAGCCCTAGCCCTAGGGATGATGAGCGGAGCCCACCTGTCGACTTTGACAACATGGGGAGAAGCCCGAGCCAAAGCCCGAGAGGTGGAACGAGCCCGGTTGTTGGTGATGAAAATAATCAAGGCTATCCTAGAAGCAGCGAGTCTCCTTGAATTGTCTGGTCCTAGCCCTTTCTTGAGAGAGAAAAGAAACGGAAAGCAATGGGTTGTTATGGAATTATGGGTTACTTATGTTGGATTTATATTGGGAATGTTTTCGTCACTAGCTTTTCTATCTTCCGAAGTTCTGTTGTTTTGGATCTTTATATAAATGTTGTTTCATTGAATGTATGAACTTTACCGGTATGTCGTCGTTTTGCGCCCCCTCCCTATTACGTAACACTTGTGAGTGGGGATGACTATGATGTACTACTATGTTAGATACTTCGCATTTATATGGTAATAATGTTATTGTTTTTTTTTTTCTATTTTGAAATTGTTATTTTTTTTTTATTGGTAATAATTAAGTATAAAATTTGAAATCGAAATCAGAAAGTTGGTAATAATTTTTGTTACTAATGTAAAAAAAAATTTGATTAAAGGATAATATAAACTAAATACTATATTAATTAATTTATTAGAGATATGGGCCTCTGTAATACAGCCCCAAATAAAGATTCTGGATCAACAAGAACCTAATCCACTTGGTTCTTGACCATTGAAATTTTGAAGTTCCAACTACATAAAAATGTGGCACGCGGTGGCGATCTCTCATTCTCCGCCGTGTTTTGCCGTCGTGCGGGCGGCGGCGAAGAAAAAACCGGCGAAAAAAACCCCACCTTATCAGGCGCCAAAGAAAACAACAGAACGCCAGAAACCCATCGAAAGCAATAACAGTGGGTTTGGCGGGAAGAAGAAAGATCCAGTGTGGCAGTGCATACAGAACTGCGGCGCGTGTTGCAAACTCGACAAAGGCCCCTCTTTTCCTTCGCCTGAGGAAGTCTTCGACGAGCCTTCAGACATTGAGGTTGGATATTGTGTGTGCGTGTGTGTGTGTGTGTGAAATTCTTACAGAATGGGCAAAAAGGAATTGCATTTGAGTTGTGTGTGTATGAATTTGTTTCAGCTGTACAAAAGCTTGGTTGGTGAAGATGGGTGGTGCATACACTACGATAAGAGCTCGAGAAAATGTTCGATTTACAACGGTGAATGCATTTTCGGTTTCAATATTGGATTCAATTTTACTAGCATTTGAACTTACCAATCCAAAAATATGCTGAATAAGTTAATTTCTTGTTTTTTTTTCGACTTTAGAGCGTCCGTATTTTTGTCGGGTTGAGCCGGAAATTTTTCACACTCTTTACGGGATTGACCCGAAAAAATTCAACAAGGAGGCTTGCAGGTTTACAAATTACAACCATAACCCTTTCGTTTTTTTTTCTTTTCGGTTGAGTCTCAATTAGTAGTTTCTCCATTAACACATCCGTTGAACTCCAGCTGCTGTGTAGACACAATTAAAGCTGTGCACGGGACAGAATCGCAAGAGTTGGAAAACTTCAATAACGCAATATGGAGCACCGGTTCAAATTGACGAATCTTGCGCGTATGAAATTTCTCGTTCGTCTATTGCTCGTTAAAATAGTGCCTCTGAGTTCTGTTTCAAAGCAATACATTTAAATTTGGATCTTATTTTGCAGGTCCTGTTTTCTAAAATGAACTAGCTTTTCCAGAAGGCTCTGTTTTGAAGAGACGAGGGTCATTACCTTATTATGGAATTTCGACAACCTTGGAAAGTCATCTGAATATACAAGTGCGAGAACAATTGTTGATATACGTTTTGTGCACTTGTTTCGACGAGTGTGGGTCGAAGCCATGTTACAGATGCTCTCGTTTTATGACGTCACCTTTGGAATTGAACAGCCGAACGCAAAAACAGTTGATGATTTTCCGAGTTTTAATTTAGTGGGTTCTTTATTCTAAAGGTAGTAGTGGTCCTTTTCATAGCTTTCTTGCTTTCATTCGTAAATGTCGAAATTCCCGACAAGAAATAAGTTATTTCAGGGAGAGTTTCGATTTTTTTTTGGCATGAGATTCGTATGTCCTAATAACATCAAATAATTTCATAATATCATTTCTACGTAAACACTGTCCAAAATCGCAGCATTTACACAGCCTTTCAATATCCTATGTTTTATCTGTGTCAAAAAATATCTGTGGGGAATCGAGAAATTGTTCCCTTTGTAGTTCACAAAACTTTAATATACAAATAAATAAAAAAAGAAAGAATAAAAAATACTTAAACTACATGGCTAAGAGGTCCAATACCCAACTCGTCTTCAATATCGTCGGCATCTTCGAACAGTTTAAGGAACCGCGCCTGCTGTTGTTGTCTCTTTCGTTTCTGCCAGTATTTGCAACCACTTACCAAACCAGCAACAAAAACGACCGATACTGCTACAACAATAACTACAATTATAGCCCAATGAATCATATTCGTGTTGTCTTTCCCTTTCGATGACGCTTCTGAAGCTGAAAAATGAGTGAAAAAAAAGGTAAATTCCATATATACACGTTCAATAAAATAACCCGATTAAAACTGGATAAATAAATATGAAGGCTCACCATTTGCAAGAGGGACGCATTCCGGACATAGAAACGTGGCGTTGAATTCTTTCTCTTTGAAATGGACGTATTTGCCATCAGAACTATTGAAATCAGATGCACAGAACTCCCATTCATCGAATACGTCGTCAGATTTGATCGCGTCCTTCTCGTAGAATCCACAACGCTTGCATTTTATATTTTGAAGTTCTGTTAGAGGCTGAAAAATTAACAAAAAGCAAATGTAATTAAACATCCCATAATCAGCATTCCCAAACGAGGCCTTTGAAAGAAATACAAAATTATATAATTTGCATCAGTCTTGTTATTTAACCTAAACCGAAACCAAATACCGAAAGGCAAGATTTACCTGCCAAGATTCTTCGCCTTTGAAGGTATACAAAACATGCTTTTCTTTAACATCCGGTAAAACTGTGTCATTCTCTCCTTTACAACTGAAGAAAACTGTCGGTTTCGACGGAAGCCACTCGTGCGTTTTGAATATCTCGATAGAATCGAGCGTAACAACTGCAGCCGATACTAATACTGGAGACAGGGGAATAAGAAGACAAATCAATAGCATAACTTCAAATGATGCATGTTATTGCACTAATCACTTAAAACATGAATAAATAGATAAATAAATACTGTCTGAAAATCGTGATTAGTTGCCCTAATTTTTCTCAATCCAATGTATAATTGAAATTAGACATCTCTTTCTGTTGATCAATATTAGTAGTCAGGAAAATCTTAATTATCAAGTTTAAAAATAAATTAAAAAAAATCCGAATCTCACGAACTGGTTTCTTTCGCCAGCAATCCTATTTCCACCAATCACTCGACAAAAAACTAAATAAATTTAATCAGCAATCAGCAAATATAAATTTCGATTAGGTGAAAAATTGTCATGAAAAATCATTCACACATCGAATTTTACAGCTGAATCGAAGAATAAAAAAATCTACCTTGGGAGTAGCTGAGAAGAATCATGCATGAGAGCAATAACAAAAATGGAACCCTCGTTCCGAAACGCCGACGTATCGCCTCGCGGCTCACCATCGCCGCCACCGTATTGCACTCAATAAATAGATCAGAAAAAATAATATTTTCTGATGGATCGATAAATAGGAATTCTCGGATTTATTTTATTTTTCAACAATTTTTCTGGTTTTGATGTCAAAAGCTGGCGTGAAGAGAGAGAGAGAGAGTGCGGAGAGAAGAGACACGAGGTCGCGCGTCAAACGGTCGTTTTGGTTGAAGGTTGTGCGCTGCGCTGACAAAGTTGTACCTCATAAGGATTCGGTTGTGAGTTGGTCGGTTAGTTGGGTATTTCTAACAAAAATATAAAGAAAAATAAAAATGAAATATTTGGGCCAAAATCTTTTCTTTCTGGTTTATTACTGGGCCGACCCAATCTTTTTTTTTGTACTTGTTGGGTCACGGTCCAATATCGTTAACCTTTACCAAATAATTTAGTGAACCTCAGAGGTAATGTTTAATAACGAAAACAGCCTTATGTTTTGGTAATTAGAACCCCTCGACTAAGATTTTTTTTATATATTCATCTTTATTGTGTCAAATTCCATAGAATGTAGAAGATTATGTGGAATGTTCTTTAGTTTGTGTTAAAATGCAGTTTTAGATGCATCATAATATGATATTTACAAGTCAAGTGCCACATCTTATTAGCATATTGTTTCAAAATGTGGAGTTCAAATGGGGTAAATGGGTACAACTGGAAAATATTTCACATTATTTAGAAGATTTCATTATATTTGACATCACAAGAATGAACGTGTAAATATATCCATAGTTGATGGATAGTTGTAATTACCCAAACACGAGGTATTTTTGCAATTTGACATAATTTACCAGATAGTTTAAGAAAATGCTCTTTACGGGCTAATAAGTGCTATTTACCGTTCAAAGTAAAAAACAGTTTATCTCTCTAAAACCCCTAAAATTCGAAATTCTCTCCAATTACCCCCCATTCCAAAAATTTCAGAAAATTTTTTTTTTTTCGAAAAATTTCGAAATCAACCAAAATCGAGCTTGGGCTTCGATTTTTTCAGGTAATTTCAACACCTACATGTGTTATATGCAATGGGTAACTCGATTTTGCAACCAATTTCATGTTTAAAAGCCCTACAAATCGATTTGTAGGGCTTTTGAATTTTTCGGATGTTAGAGCCAAACGCCCAAACCGGGCGCTGGCTGCATGAACCGACGCCCACTTTGGGCGTCGGTTCATGCTGCCAGCGCCCGTTTTGGGCGTGAAATTATTGTATCAACGCCAGGTTTGGGCAATTCTTGGGGATGGAGGAGGTTATTCTGCAATTGAACTGATATTACATAAATTTGGACGATTATTTATGATGAGTACATAGTCAAGAAAGAAAAAAAAATGGGGGTGAACTATTTCTATGAACCGGAAAAGTGCGGGAGTTGGCGATGATGTAAAAAAAAACAAACTTGGGGGTGATTTTGATTTATGACCCCGGGAAAGGGGTTGCTCGCCCGCACGTGGGGGGAGAGAATAGGGAGGGTAACAAATGCGATTCAGACATATTTAAATGAGGATTGGTCAAAGTGATAATGAAAAACTAATGTG